GGGAGTTTGTAATCTATTTTGTTTCAGATACAATATTCAACACCATGAAAAACGAATTATGTGAAATTCTTATTTAAACTCACCTATTTCCTAACAGTTTCTAAAGAGACCTCTTACTAAATTATGTTTTCAAATATGATGACGAGAGTGATTCCCCCCCTCCGTCTAGTCCTTCTGTAGCCTTGACATACTGTGTGCATTAGAAAAGGAAGGGAAACAGGTTTGCTATTGAGTTATTATTGTCTTTGATCTTTAATAGAACCATTACCTCCTAGAATTTAGATGTAGACTTCTAAAATTTAAGAATAAAGAATAAAGTAAGATTCAGTGTGTGACAGGATGTTAGATCTCATAGGAACTTTAGATCAGTGTCTCACTGCTACTTGTCTTTTGAAGAGCCCTGGGTAGACATGGCTGTCCAAGCAAGCAGCTGGGGTCTAGCAAGCAGCAGTGACTGATCAAGATCAAGGTTTCCTGGAACAAAAGGAGGGGCCTGCCACAGGTCCTTAAGAGATCAGTGATAGGAGTTGGATTTGGAGAAGACTGTAGAATGACTTTCAACTTTCTCCCTGGATGATGGTTTGGAAGGTTCTCTCAGAATGCATGAGAGAGTCAAGGCCAAGTTAAACATGCTCATTTTGAGATGCCCATTGTAACTCAAGTGAGCAGCTAAGGCACATAATATATTTATTTGCAACAGGGCTAAGATTAGCATTTGCCCTTGTTTCCTTTTCTAAAGTTTATTGCGATACCACTTTGCCTCCCCCTAGAAAAGTCTTTATAATTGAATTTTCCCCACATTAAAAAAAAATCTTAATGTAGGGGAAGAAAGAAGATTCTACCTTCTCCTGTCATTAGGAGATTTATCTTCTTCTTCTGCATACTATGTTGACTATTTATGAGATTTTTTTCTTACTTTCCCATTTCCTTGATTGTTATACTATTTTATTATACATGTTACTATGGGAGTATCAGTGCACACTAGCCAATCATGCCTTGTTAAATAATGTGTGTAGAATTTTATAAAAAATGTTCATGTTCTTCTGTAAATCGTCAGTTTGCAGATCGTATTATTGAGGAACTGGGGCCAGGGGAAGCCTCCAATGGCATAAAGTGTAAGTTAGGCTATCTCTTCAGTTGTCCCCACAGTTATTATTTCCAGTGTGTGCATTGTACCAGGTAGGAAACTGAGATTAAGGAATCTTGGATCATGCAGCGGAGTCCTGAGTGCCCTCTGGGCTCAGGATATCAGACCTTGACAGAGAAGTGCTTGACAGAAGAGCTAAATGTTGAAGTGCTCAGATGATGTTCAGGCATATGTCTCCTGGTACAAAAAAGGAATATCCTTAGGTAAAATTTAAAACCAAACCAAAACTTTGTTCCACGTGTCTATGAGACCTGACAGGTTTCCTTGTAGAGTTTGAGTTATTTCAAGGGCATGCCTATGGGACAAAATTAAAAGTGTTTATTTTTGCCTAGTACACTTTGAAAGGGCAACAAATTAAAATGCAAATATAAAATTTGCCTAGGCAAATAAGGTGTAGATAGCTGAAGATAGCAATTAAGTTGTTTTAGTCACCATTCTGGATGAACATCCTTTGATTTGGGCTAGCCTAAAAGCTAGTCCTGAGTGATTGGAGGAAGCAACAGGGAGGTCTTTTGTAACTTTAGTTCTTTGGGCTACAAAAGTTTCCATGCTTTGCTGTTAAAATGTAACTGCTCTGTAAGTGATGAACCTTATTGTTTCACTAGCTGTCAGGAGTGAGGAGACCCAGTAAAGGACAGCAAGGATATGCAGAAATCAGGGGACAGATGCAGGGCCCAGCCCTGCCTCTCAGGTCATCGCTGCCCTTGCATTAGGGGAAGAAACTCTCCCCATCCCCATATAATCGGGTCATCTAAGTAATAACACCAGTGAGGGCTCATGTGAGGTTGAAGGTCTGTAACATATCTAACCATTTGAAAGTTACCAGGATTCTTCTGGTGTTCTATGTTGTTGTTGCTCTCATTGAAAAAAAAAAAAAAAAGGAAATATTGTAGGTTGGGCTGGTTTCAAACAAATGGGTCAAAGATGTTTCATATATAGCAATGCTACAGGGAAGGTGCTTATCTGTAATCTCAGCTACTTGGTAGGCTGAGGCAGGGAGATCACAAATTCAAGGCCAGACCTTGTAAGGGCAACTTAGAAAACCCTAAAAAGGGCTAGGGATGTCATTTAGTGGTAGAGCACTTGCCTGGCACGTGCAAAACCCTGGTTCAGTCTCCAGCATCATGGGGAAAAAAGAAATGCTACAGGATCTGCACAATGATATTTTGAGGATATATATAATTTTCACACAAAAATAAGCTGTGAACAATTTATTTGTATGTTGTTTGGTTTGACCAGCGAACCATCAACCCTATGTGTTTTGATCTACAGAACCATGACATTAAACTGTATAGAATAATTAGAATATTATAATGTAGAAAAATTGAATTATCAAGTTTTATAACTAGAAGGGACCTCAGAAATCATCTACTCTGGTGGTTTTCAAACTTGATTTTAGCAGCAGACTTTTACCTTTAAAAATGAAATCTTAGGGGGAACTCCAATTTTTTTTTTAAAAAGAGAGAGAGAGAAAATTTTAATATTTATTTATTTTTTTTTTAGTTTTCGGCGGACACAACATCTTTGTTTTGTATGTGGTGCTGAGGATCGAACCCAGGCCGCATGCATGCCAGGCGAGCGCTACCACTTGAGCCACATCCCCAGCCCAAGGGGACTCCAATTTTTAACACAGTTAATAACAAGGGGGTTCCTTGAATCCTTTAATTTTGATCAGTTGGGGGAAAAGGTCTTCATTGCCTGCAGAATCCATTAAGCACTTCAGGTGACACAGTTTGAAAACTGTTGATCTAGTCCAACCCTTTCATTTTACAGATGAAAGAGAGGTTAGGTGACTTGTCCAAGGTCACACAGCTAGTCGTGGCAGAGCCAGGACTAGATCTCAGATTTCTTGATTTCCAGTCCAGTGCTCTTTCCATTACACCATACTGCCATAAGGTAGGTGCTGTGTTAGCATTATGTTCATAGCTACTAATAGTCTTCAGTATTTTATAACTGATTTATGCTGGTAATATGCATTGAATGTTAAAGTGTATTATTCAGAAATGCAAAGGATAAAAATACAGATTAAAATCACATAGGTGTACTCTTAGAAGATAAATCAATATCTAGAATGTTTCCTTTCACTTTTAGAAATTATTTTAAAGCAATACATTTAGGTAATGTCTGAGCTATAGTGGATATTTTAGTCTGATACCAATGATCAATATGTATGGAGTCCGTATGTTTTTGTGCAGACATGCACTTGATGGGAGCAGCATTGAGGTGGCTGGCTGCCATTCCCAGGGGGACCATGGATTGCTGTCATTTCCAGTAGAGGCCAGTCTCCTGTCTTTAGCTGGTGCTCCTCCTTTAGCTTGTAGTAGTCATGAGCTCATTCCACATTCAACTCTGCAGACTTTCCTTCAGTTCTTTGTGTTCTTACACCTTCTGTCTCTGTCCCTTTTGTTCTTCTCAGTCTGGTTATCTAAGTTGTCACTGGGACTCTACCCTAAAAGAACATAAGGTTTAGTCATTGTAGAGCCCTGTTGCCCCTGATAATATCCATTGTTGATCTAGTTTCTACTTAGATGTTCCTCTCTGGTATTATCAGACTCTTACTAGGTTCCAGGAAAGTAGAAAAAGTGTATTAAGTCCTCTATAACTATTGTTTTACCAACTTAAAAAACTAAGAGATACATGGAAATCTGCAGCCTTACCACTGTGAATGGGTAAGAATTCTTAGGAGATTTCTCTGGGAACATAGATACTGCCACTGGTCTAAGAATAAATTGCTGGTTCTTGAGGAGAGCCAGCTGCTGTGGGAAGCCTTGGCTCAGGTGTTGTGATTCTGTCAGAGTTGGATGCAACTTGTTTCTATCTTATCAAATATATTGAGTAAGTCTCTAAGCAATAGAGATTCCTTAGAAAATATTTTTTTAGCCCTACTTTTGTTTGAGAATCAAACAGCAGTGATTAGTTATCAGACCTCATTTTTGAAATTTATTTCTTCTGAAAGTCAAGTTCAAAGTTCTGTGGGTCACATGATGAAGCCTGTTGTTCTAAGACCTGATGACCTCAGACAGGACACACAGACTCTCTGGGCATGTGTTTCCTCCACTTAAAGGGGGAGCAATTTAGTTCTTCCTCCTAGTCGCAGCTAGCTCTGTTGACTGATCATGCTAGTGACACAAAATAATGTTGGTATTCCAGATGTTACATTGCTCATCGTGTTAGCTCACTTGGATCCTCATTTTCCAATAGACTTGGTGATGATGTGAAAGTTCTGTGTCTTTGCATCCAGTTCTGTAGCCAATGGCCACAGCAGACTATTGAGTACCTGAAAAGTGGCTACTGCCACTGAAGAATTGAATTTTAAGCTTTATATAATTTAAAAATTAGGTAACATTTGAATTTAAAGGGTCATATGTGGCTACTGTATTGGACAACCCAGCTCTCAGGTGTTCTCTGACATGAAAATCAGATGCTGGGTGGAACAGATGTGCTGCATTCTTCCAGAGAGTGATGATTTATATCCTGCTGAATTGTCACTGGCTACACTCTGTCTTAGGGTAGCTTGTTAGAAGTCAATCACTTTTTTTTTTTTGCATTAAAATGCAGAAAAAGGAGATTGGGTTTCCTCTTATTTGTGACTTAGCCACATGAGCTTCAGCTGGAAAAATGTTTGTTAATTTGATGACAAGTGACGCATTTTCTCCTATGCTCAATCTCATATCATTTGGGCCTCAACGTGGGTTTCAGAGCATTCCTGTAAGTTTCCTGGGAAGCTGCTGAATTTTGAAAGCTTCTGGCCAGTAAAGGAATATTCTGTTGATACAAGCTTGATACGAGCATCTGAATTATGCTGGTTTCTGAGTATATAATGAAACAAAACTCTCTTTCTTCTGCCCCCTAGAACCAAAGAAAATGGCTTTGACAGAGAGCCTTTGCACTCAGAACATCCAAGCAAGCGACCATGCACTATTAGCCCAGGCCAGCGGTACAGTCCAAATAACGGCTTATCCTACCAGCCAAATGGCCTGCCTCACCCCACCCCACCTCCACCTCAGCATTACCGTTTGGATGATATGGCCATTGCCCACCACTACAGGGACTCCTATCGACACCCCAGCCACAGGGACCTCAGGGACAGAAACAGACCTATGGGTAAGACTCAAAGATCTATTCACTTTTTTGGCAGTTGGATGCTGTAGGTTCTTACATCACTACTTCTCAACTGAGTTTGAGGCTTGAAGTCTTATAGGGGCAAAATTTTGCTTTCTTCATTTTGTCCCCTTTATGAGAAAACTTGGTGTTATTAGTATACTCTTATATGCTTGAAGACAGCAGGTTAATTTTCTTTTTGTTTTTCGAGGAGGGTGTCAAACTTAATAAAATCCTTAATTATGGTAACAAAAGTAAAATGAACTTTTAGCTTGAATCTTGCTTTATGAGAGATTTCATATGTAGTCTCTTTGAGAATCAAACATCAGTGACTCTTTTTAAAAAATATTTTTAAAAATTAGTTTCTTTTGTATATATTTTTTGTTTCAGATAGTCTGAGTTCATTTGGACTTGTACAGTCTCCATGATATTCCATATTTCCAAAATATGATATGGCATACTGTTTATGGCTTAACTTGACAGTGAGGAATGCTTGGTACTTTTCTCTGTTAGAAAATGCCAGTGATTAAAATTAGTATTGTCAATTTTGCATCAAAGAACAGAACACAGAATGAATGAGTTTAGGAAAATTTGTGTCCTACTTGCCTGTGTCCATTACTCTTTATAAAATTATTGGATATAAAGCTTTAGGAGATCTTGCCTTTTATTCAGCAAATGTTTGCTGCAAAAAAATCAGAAGGAAGATGCCTAAGGTAAGTTTTGATAGATGATAGGTGGTTGAGGTGATGGTATCAGGTAGTAAGTACGCTGTTCCTGAGACACCTTCAATGTCTAACCTTCAGAATCTCACTAAGAGCAACAACCATCTCCCTCTTTTTTCCCCATCTCCTGTGGCCATACCACCCACCAACAGGACTCCCTTTACTTCATAACTAGTTGCTGGCCAATTTTCCTGACTATGGGAGATTTGGTGGGCAGGATACCAGAAAGAACAAGGGTGAAGTCAAAGTAGAAAATCAGAAAACAGAGCTGAAGATACAGAACTCTGGGAAAAAGTCAGCCAGCTGTCAGCTACTGGAATAATAGTGACAGGATTTTATTTTCATTTTTGTTTTTCACAGGCAGAGATAGCCTGAAATGCAGAAGTTTGTGTTAGGCTTCTACCCAGGTTTTTAGGCTGCTGTAAGGTAGTATTTTTGCCTTCCTGTCCAGAGTCCTCCAAAGGTCTAGAAAGCAGAATGGGGATGAGATGACTGAGGCTTTGGTTGTGAGATAGTAAATTAGTAATTCTGGTTGCCCAAAACAGTAATTTCTATGTTTATTTAGTGTGTCAGACAAAAATGGCTAAGCACATAATTTGTGCTTTCTTAATGGCCGATCTGTCTAATGTTCTCACAGGTACTATTTCTGAAGGGCTTTTCAAAAGTGGTTATGCTTTCTCTCAGTCTAGACTGAGACCTCAAAACCAAATGTGATTACAACCCCTTTCTATGCAGAAGCCTTACCATTTATTGATGACTTAAGGCCTGAAAATATGATTGCTCATGTTTAAATAGCAGTGGAATCATCAGGTTACTGTGAGACCAGTTCAGGAGATGATACACTGTTGTAGGTGCCAGAGAATGGTCTACTTCTTAGGCAGCAAATGCTATTTGGTGAATTATTAGTTACAGTGCACTATAAAGTAATCAACAAGGAAGTAATTATGCTTATGTGCAATGATTATGTTTTCATCTAGTAATGTAAAATATCCCTTTATGAATTATATCTGTATCCATTGGTTTTATGTGATTTTCTTCAGACCATGTTTCTTACCTTTTAATTATATTGGCTTATAAAACTAATAGTGCTAATCTCTATAAATATGTGCAGCTACTTAACCATCCCTAAAGTCTGCCAGAGTTTAGTGTGTGTTAATGTAAAATAAAATCTTGATGTATGAGTAACAAATTATGGCATTATATCAGGCTGCCATTTTGAGAATATAAAAATTGTCATAAAGGTGTATTTAGTCTGATATGATTTATAAATGTGTGTTATATGTAGTGACATATACTCAACTGAATCCTTTAATAAAGTAATTTTGTAAGCAGCATTAGTTTGTAAGTAAGCTTTGGGTTTTAGCCTAGTTAGCTAAAAATCTTCTAAAACATAGGAACCAGTTAAGATACAACATTAGTGCCAGGTGGCCCACAAACAGAAAATGTGTTCTTTGATGATTATGACCTATTTTACTCTCGTATATCCCTGTGGTATTATGAACACAAATAAAATTTGTATGGTGTTGAATATTTAAGTATGTGAAGTAAAGAAATTAGTTTTCAGTTGTCTTATTTTTTCCTTACATAGATTTGATTCCAACAAATGACCTTCAGAGTTTGAAAGTACCAGATGAAGCCCTTATTTCTCCTGTAAATACTTGAGCACAACAATGTTTCTAACATTCTTCTGTTTTAAAAGAATGAGATGAAACTTAGACCACTAAGACTCGTAGTAGACACCTGTTAACCACAAACTTTCTATTGCTCATTAATTGTTCTGAGTGTTAGAGCTTGAATCATTTAGTTTGCAGAATTTTTGAAAATTTTGAGACCTCTAGAGGTCTTGGTTCTTACTGCCAAACATTTAGATGCCACCATCTTGAAAGTTCCTGTCACATTTATATTTTCATCATCCTCTGGTTATTTTCTGTGATTAATTGTAGGAATAGTGTTTTTTTTTCCCCAAAACACAGGCAACAAATAAGTCAACAAAAATTACGTATTTGCAAACATTTCAACTTGAAATATTCACACTAAACAGAGCAATAACTATTATCTCCCATCCCAATATCTTTTCTATTAAGCAAATTAGTAAAATATTTGCAATTTTATGTTTTGCCAATAGGTGGCATTGACAATTTTAACTTTTAAAATTTATCTCTGAGTGTGTTCTGTTTGGACAGGAATGATGCATAGTATTTTTATACCTTTTTATTTTTTATTATTTTTTACCTGAGAGAGCTATCATAAATGTTCACTTTCATGGGTTATGGATGAAATTGTATCTTGTAGTTGGCTGAAAGAGTCATGTGAATCATCTTTTTTTTTCGCCTTAAGTCAGCGGAAAGAAAAGATTTCTAACCACTTAAATTTCACAAAAAGTGGAATGCAATATCTTTTTATTGTCATTTAATGCTTAAATGACAGGACCTCAGAGAAGGAGCCTCAATGTCTAGAAGCCCAAACCATGCCAGACTTAATTTGCTGTTCAGATTAACAATATGAGGGAGAGTAACCAAAAAGAATTGTTTTGGTCATTCAAAGCAGAAAGCATAACATCGCCCAGTGCCCTTCCTTGATGTAGAGGATAAAGGGCACTTTCCACAATGAAGGCATGAGAGGAACACCAGGTTTCTAGACATCTCTCATCAGTCTTCTATTCTGACCTTTTATGGAGAAATGTGAAAATGCATGTTCATATTCTAATGACTAACTTACCTAATGGTGCTCATTCATTAATATCAGTGCACTTGGTAAATATTTACATGATACTTTTTCATAGCAGTATAACTGTGGTGCTAAAGAGCATTAATACTCATGGGCTTCAAATTATGATATTCATTTTTTTAATTTGAATATGATATTTGTTGAAGTATAACTGGCATGCTGATTTTTTGATAAAACATCTCATTTTTATATCTTATGTTTTTGTAAATTGAATTAGTATATATAGCTTTTATATACAAATATAAAAACACTCTCTTTGTGGCCTAATTTTATCAGCAAGATACATATATTAGGATTGTATTCATCTATAGCTGAAGCATGAAAAAATGGTTTACTGTGTTTTGGGAAATCATATAAAATGAGTTATAATGTCTATTTTTTAATGCAGACCAGTCATATTTTGAAACCACCTAATGTCTACTCATGTTTCTTTCTATTTATTTAGTGCTGGGGAGTAAATCCAGAGTCTGTGTATGCTAACCACACTGTCTACAACCTAACTACATCCCAGCCCCAATTTCTTGTATTTATTAAGAGCTAAGAATATGTTTATATTTTTACTTAGGGAGTCTCATATGAATAAGAAGCTCTAGACTTGTTATCATGTAGCTCTCCCTCCTCATGTGTAAAATAAAGAGTTCTGATGAGATGACCTCTAGAATTCCTTGGAGTTCTAATATTTTTGTCGTTCTTAGGAGGACGCCACTGGGTAATTCTGACTAAGTATAATTCTTGTCTCCAATCAAAATAAAATGTTTTAACATCTTTGGGATTGCCCACATGGTCCTGGCTATGTGCAGGATTGCATACAGATTGGGTACTGAATGCTTTAGGGCAATTAAGCCTTTTTCTCTCTATTTGTAGGGTTGCATGGCACACGTCAAGAAGAAATGATTGATCACAGACTAACAGACAGAGAATGGGCAGAAGAATGGAAACATCTTGACCATGTAAGACATCAGTAAACATTTAGGTTAAAAAATGTTTTGAGAACAACTGAAGTGAGGTCATATGATAAAAGCTTAAAGATGCTTTGAAGGTATTGTGTTTCCTGATCTCCTTGAAAAAAAAAATGAATGAAAATGTTTGAGTAGAATGCAAGATTTGATTTCCAAATTGATGTGAAAGCCACGTAAGAGAAATATTTAGATCTTGGAAAAAGACCAGCAGGCTACTGTTTTATTTTGAAAGGGTGATTGGCTTACTATTCTGGAAAGGTAGATTTACTAATTATAACACCTTGAAGGTAAATATGACTGTCATGATTCACATTAGCACTTCTTGCTTTTCTTCTCTTTCCCATTGAATATGCTCATCTGTTGGGTTGGAATTTCAGATCTGACCATTAGAAATACTAAACTGAAATCCTGCAGGAATGCAATTTCATCTTTTATTATCCTGAAATATTGATTTTCTTACCCACCAAATTCTTTAACCTGTGGTGATTTGTATGTTCACCTCTTTCTCCCTGTTTCTTGCGCAGCTGTTAAACTGCATAATGGACATGGTAGAAAAAACAAGGCGGTCACTCACTGTACTAAGGCGATGTCAGGAAGCGGACCGGGAAGAATTGAATTACTGGATCCGGCGGTACAGTGATGCTGAGGACTTGAAAAAAGGCGGCAGCAGTAGCAGCAGCCACTCCAGGCAGCAGAGTCCTGTCAACCCTGACCCAGTGGCATTAGGTATCTTTACTTCAGATGAGAATTTTGTGTTTTGGTGGGATGTGGGTGGGGGGAAGGTACCAGGGTTTGACACAGGGCACTTGACCACTGAGGCACATCTCCAGCTCTATTTCATATTTTATTTAGAGACAGGATCTCACTGAGTTGCTTAGCGCCTTGCTTTTGATGAAGCTGGCTTTGAACTCAGGATCCTCCTTGTCTCAGCCTCCCAAGCCCCTGGGATTATAGGTGTGTGTTACCATGCCCGGCCAGATGAGAATCTTGAATAGATATTTCTTATGCTATTACCCACTGGCTGTTTTTAACATTTTTTCAAAAATAAGAGATACTCTGAGTTTATGACAGAATTGCAAAACTGAACCAGAATTTTATTGCACTATTAAAATTTATGCTCCTTCATAATATAGCTATTTGGACCCTGCCTCAAAACCTGCAGAAACCCCATCTCACAGAGTGGGCCCGTGGCTTCTACTCCTCTAACAAGGCCTCTTGGGACTTCTTCTACTGCACAGCAGTGTTTGACAGCACTGCACACAGGGATGTGTGTTTTCTAATTTTTAATTGAAGATACAGTCTCTAAGACAGTCTTGTTTTGTGGTTGTATCTTGCATTAAAAAAAGAAAAAAACTTCTCTCAAAAATCCCTCTTGGACAGAGAAACCTAGAAGCTATATAGTTTACCTACTCCACTTGAAATTTGATGATAAAAAATATGTAGCTCTCTTCCTATGACTGGATAAGTTAGATTGTTTAATTATGGTTTTATTCATTATGTAATGGGACTATTAATATAACTCCACCTTAGAAATTGAGTGTTCGTAACTATGTTTAGTATTGGTGTTTGGGGATTATTGTGGTTATAAATAGAATATAGTCCCAAAGATATTGAAAGAAGTCTACTAGAATTTTGGAGTGGCCTGCAAACTTCTGCTTGAATGAAGTGTAAGGTGTCATCATTTACATTGCTGACCATTGTGTGTGAACCATTTGAACAAACTTAGTGGGGATGATTTTTGTGGATCCTCATTCTCTCATCTCCAGCTCCCTACCTGTAGCTCACTCAGGTTAGAGTACAATCCTTGCACTCTAACAAAACAAAACAAAACCTTATTGTATACATGCAGATTTAAGCTCATGTCTTTGACATAATTGGCACCATAGCTGATAAGAATTAAAAGCTTGAACTATATTATCTGGCTATTTGATCACATTATCTTTTTATTAAAATTATTCATAGCCAGTATAGTTACCTTTGCATCTATTTGTGGATTTCTGCTAATTCCTGAGTGTTGAATGCCTATTACTCTAATAAGTAGTAAATTAAGGAAGATTCCTAGCTACTTAATTTACCCAACAGGGCAGATTCCTAGCCACTTAATTTACCCAACAGGTATTATTCTAAAGCAGGCTTTAAAGACAAAAGGATATTTGTCAGGCTGTATTAAGGCAAACAGTGAAAACAGAATTAAGTTTGATTTGAGCCATTATTGGGCTAAACAAAGCTATTTGGAGCAGAGTATAATAAACATCTTGTTTTTATTTCCTTATTATGAACAGAGATCAGTTAATCATGGCAGATTTGCTCAAGGAAAATGATATTATTTATAAAGATGTAATGTAGGCAAAAATTGAGAGCCTTAAAAAATAAGATTTTAGCAGTAAAAATATACACTTTGACCTTCTGTGTGGCACACATTAATGGAACTATTACATATTTATTGAGTGCTTACTATGCATTAGGCTTTGAACCAGGTGCCGTAATGAAGGAAAGAGATTCTTTATTTCTTCCTTGAGGATATTTGGGTCTAGTAGAACAGAGAGGCAAGAGAATAATGTTACAGGCACAGGACAGCCACCTCAGTTGAATCCTACAAACTGGACTCTGAAAAAGAAGAAATTCAAAAATTGATTTGACATCATACCTAAATTGTTATTAACCCACCAAATATAAGCCACTTTGTACACAGTCACTACTCCTACACACAAACTCTGATGATGCCGATATACACCATATTCTCCAGGGAGATAAATTCAGTTTCTGTGTTATATATAGAACCAAAAGAATAAGCTTGGGTTTTTTGTTTGTTTGTTTTTTAAGCTACTCCTTCCGAGTACACAAATTATACTACTTTTAGTGACGTTTAATGAATTCACAGTTTTAGTAAAGCCGAGAAGTTGCTTTGGCTTTAAATTTGCGTAGTTAAGATTATCTAAATGCTACAAGAATTTCATTGTTTTGTTTAGAAACCACAAAAAGAGTCATGTTCTTATGGACACAGAACCCTTGGTTACCTATTAAGAAACCATCACAACTCTTAAGAGCTACACAGTGTTCCAGTCCTGGCATCCAACAGTTTTTCCTGCGTGTCCTTGCTAGTTGATTCTGGAGGCCCTTGAGCTTCATTTTCTGGAGCTGGGTTGAGGCTGTAAATAAGAGGACAGGTAGTTTGTAATCGAGGAATACAGTCATTTACATAAAGTGCTCTCTCTCTCAGGTTTTGGAGATGAATGTATTGAAGTGTGTTATGAAAACATTAGGGATTATTGGTTAATAAATCTCTGTTGCTGGAAAGTTTTTAATGGGGTACATGTTTAAGATGAAGTTATGGATCTGTTGTTCTTTTATATACATGTCGATCTCATTATGCTATGATTAGGTTGTATATTTCTTTTAGCCTAATTCTTTCAATTCTTAAACCATCCAGCTTCAAATGAGACCTTCAGAATATATTGTAGAAGAAATCTTTGGTTCAGAATATTGCCTAACCTACATCCCCAACTTGGAAGCATGGGAATGTTTGTTATACACACATTCTTAGCATTTTAAAATTGCATTTGGGGACTGCACAGAGGAGAACGTCACTTCCATGACTGATGTGTTGTTTTATTCTCAGACCCGTTCTCACTGTTGAAATACATCCTCAGCATTAAGTCAGTATGGGGGATTAGAAAAATAGCATGATTAATCTATCACTAATTGAATTTTAGGAGTTTCCCCCAGATATTAAATAACAACTCTATTGTGAATAGCCTCTGAAAAAAATTTTAAACACTTGAGAACATACTGAACTCATAATGTCATTCCCATTCTTTAAATAAATACAAGTTGAAATCTTAAAGGACCTTTAAAAATAGATTTTCACTTGAAATAGTAGAAAAAATAGATTTTCACTTGAAATAGTAAATATGGATTGTTTTTATTATTCCTCATTGGCTGTCCAGGAAAAACTCTAAATATTCAACTCTTAACAGAATTAGCTAGTTTTTATTTATTCTTTTTAAAAATGGGCCTTGTAAATTTGTTTAGTTACATTGTTAACTTCACCAAAGACCCAGGTTAATGTGATCAGAATTGATAGATTCAATCACTGTGGTAACTACCTGATTCATAAGGATAGATTGTGGCTGGTTAGCTTTTCATGTATTCTCTATGTGTTTGTCTGGGCCTCTGTAGCTCTTTTCCTTTCAATTCTTTTTTCTCTCAGTATGCTACTCATATCCCTCTCTTGCTTTAATTTTTTTTTTAAACTGGCTTTGGACTATTCTAGAATCTATGTTCATTGTCTGTCCTTTGTTTTCAAGAAGACTTCCACATGATTAGGGTTTTAAAAAATAAATTTAATGGTGAGTTTAAGACTGTTAGGGACTGAGAGTTACAGCTCTGAAATATGAATGTATCTATTCTACTTTTTGAATGTATAAATACTTTTTGAATGTATAAATGATAATAGGGAAGTAAATTTTAAAAAAACATACTTTCATGTATGTGTCAGTAAGGGTTAGCTCTTGCCAAAGAAAGAAGTATAGTGGGGTTTTTTGTTTGATTTGTTTTGTTGTTGTTGTTGTTGTTGTTGAAATGGGATGAAAAATCAAGCTGATTATTCGTTTAAAAAAAAAAAACCTTAGCAATTCAGGAGTTTGTTGAATTCATGGAGGAGTTTGTATTTTAAAATTGCTCTAGTTGGAGGAGCCAGGTTTGGTGGCTGACACTTATAATCCCAGCTATTCTAGAGGCTGAGACAGGAGGATCATTAGTTGGAGGCCCATGTTAGCAGCTTAGTGAGATTCTGTCTCACAATGACAATAACAAAGGATTGTAAGACTGGGGATATAGCACTTGGCTAGAATGTGTGAGGTCCTGGGTTCAATCCCTAATCACCCCCAACTCCCACTGACTTGCTGTTGCTGGCAAATTTTATGCTTGCCGTATGATTAAATCATGAAATTTCCCATTGGTATCTAAATCCTTAGGAAATCTAGCATTAAGTTTAAAAGTACAAATTCTGAGCAGCACATCATTAGGATTTGAAGTCTCGGTTCCTCTTCACACTTTTTTGGTGACTTTTGGTAAGTCATGATCTCACTGTGCCTCACTTTCCTTATCTGTAAAAATGAAGATGACACATATCTCTTAGGCATTTCTGTATTAAGTGAATTGACAGGTCTACAATATATAGTATGGTGCCTGACCTGTAGTACACATGATGTACTCCTGTTTTGCAATCTCAGAATGGCAGGAAGCAAAACAGGAGAGCTTTATGTTTGGCATTCAAGATTGCAAAATTTTAGTGAATTATTAGATAATTTTTATCTAGAAAATATTTCCAAGGTGGATACTTTTCTTAAGAGGCAGAGAAATTCGAATTCTCTCTTAAATATGTATCTTTAGAACCCTGACTCAGAACACATAACTGCAGAAAAATAGTTTTCCTCCAACCAAGGAAAAACTGTTCAACTTCTATACTATCAAAATATGGAAACTACAGACAAATTACTCAGAATATATCTGCACATAAAAGTCTGTGAAGTTTTATACAATTGTATTGATTCCTTTAAATCACATCATGGAATTCATTTCATGACCACTCAGCTAACTTTATAATGCAAATGCCTGCTATGTTTAAAAACTCTGCTTTAACTGTATAGGGTTTTAAAAGACTGTTAAATAAGTCCATCTTTTAAAAACAAAGAGATGGTTATTTCCTGGTATGTCTGTTGTTAAAGATGGGAATTCTAAAGCAGTTCCTAGTTTCTAGTTTGGGTTTAGGCTTGTGTTGAGATTTCTGAACATATTACCCTTAAAAATAAAACCAAGTGGCATTTGTAAAGATGAAATCACTTAACCTTTCTCTTAATGGTTTCTGTAATTGATATTATCATGATCACAGCCTCATTCTGCCCACTACAGGATGAAGGCCATACCTAGGTGCTGCCAAGCTTTGAGCATTGCTGTCCTGGGTCATGTGAGGTCACATTGGTTCTCCAAAGGCTGTCAGCTCATCCCTTCATGTATATTGATGGCGGCCCTTCCTGTATCTAGTATCCAATGGTCTCCATTCTGTCGTAAGTGTAGTGCATCTTCCATCTCTTCCATACATCAAAGATTGCCCTTTCCGTTCACATTCCTTATAACTTTATCCTTCATTCTGACTCAGTCCTCCCTTTCTACATTGATGTGTGTTAGCTTAAAGAGGCTGCCCTGGCCCTGTTCTCCTCTCACCTCTAAGCAATTTGCATCTCAAAGCAAACTAAATTTGACTTAGATGGACATCTCTCTAATTTTCCCATCTTTCAGTAGTTAGATCTTTGTATGTCTCACATTTTAAACCATTTCCTATAGGTTCTCCGGTCTTTGTTTCTACTACTACATTTTAGAACAACTGTTCATTTTTATAGCAACAGATATTTTATAGGTAGTAAAGACCTAATAACTAAACATTAGCTCCTTTAGAGTCCAACCTTGGACTGTTTTGCATGGGTTTGTCTAGATTCCCCAATACCCTAAAATGATAAATTCCTAGGAGAGTGGGTCTTTTGCTCTCTTATTATTTTTTCTTGTTCTCTTATTTATCAACTCCAGGAATTTTTTTGGCCTTTAAATTCAGTTTTGTCTATATAGATTCTGATGCTACTGCTTAATCAGAAAAAATATTAAATCAATTTATTAATTGATTTCTGTAGCTATTAAAGTCTTTAATATTTGAGGACTCAAATAGATTGAGAAGTATCCATCACTGTGCTTTCCATTGTCAGATCTGATGTTTAGGAAGACTGCAGTGACTTAGGACTGGAGAGGATATTGTAAAATGTGCATCTATAATTACTTCCCTTTAAATTTGGATATTTTGAAAAAACGTTCTTTTACAAAGCAGAATAGGATTGATGAAGCCATTTTACCTGATGGGCATTGGTATAATCATTGGGTGTCTAGGACAGGTGGAGTTCAGGTCTACGTGGATGTAGCAGCATGTCAATGAGACATATATGGAGCTGCAGCCAAGGTGAAACTCTTCATAGAATCTCAGTGTGGCTTATGAACCCTCAGGATGCCTATTGTAGAGCACATGGAAGGTGGAAGGTTGGCTGAACCCTGAATGTTAATGTTTGAGAAAATTTGAGGCTATTCACATTCATGAGGTTTAAGTAATATTTATAGGAAAAAAGTATAAGGAATTTGAGGGCTTTGGCTTCTAAGGACAAACACAGTGAATTGAATTTGCAAAAATAATTTGTATCACTAAGTGACATATTCTGTGGGAGTTAAAAAATTTGCTTCCTATGTTTTGCTTAATTGAAGCTTCTCCAGTGGTTTTGCCTCCTTTAATGTTTTATACTATTTAGTTACGCTGGAAGGAGAAAAGGGTTTATGATGTTTTTTTTTTTTTTTTTCTTCATCTTCCTTGTCTGTAAGGTAACAAGTACATATCTATTCTTAGTGGTCAGCCTGCTAAATAATGGTAAAGATAAAGATAATAAATAGCAAGTAATGTCTAATGAAAGCATAGGACATGCTATGCCAAGCATGTTGTGGGGAGCACCTTCTTCAATCCTCAGATGAAGTAGCTCTTGCCTTACATGGGGCAGCTGAGGCAGGGGGAAGCTAACTTCCCCAATGTCATGTAAATAGTAGTTGGTAAAGCTAAAATTCACCTCCACTGGGTTTTAGAACTCTCTTCTCTCTATGTTGCCTGGGACTAGTAATTAGTATTATTTATGCATGAACTTTGGATAACTTAGCACTTTTAAAAATCTTTTAAAAGATTTTCTTTTTCCTTATAATAAAGTTTGGTTCTTCATCAAAAATTCTGAAAAATGAAAAAAAATTGCTTCTTTGGAAAAGGCATTTTTTTTTTCTGTGTTTACACTTTACTATCTATTCTTATCCAATTACTTATACTTAAGTTTAAGTCTTTTTTCCTTAAAAATTGTCTTTAAAAGTTGTCATAAGTACATCTTTCTGTTTTACTATACTTGTCTAAATGTGAATTTCATAGCACTTTACTTCTTCTGGAAATAGTTACAGTTGCTAAAGAAGGTAATCTTGAAAAACCTAATTAACTATGTCCTATTTCTAAGTTGTATATGCACCAGTTTTATCTTTCTTTAAGAATGAAAATTGTTTCAGTAAGAACTTTTTGGTTTTGTCATTTACTTTGTGGAAATGAATGTGCATATGAAAACGCATGGATATTTCCAGGCCATCTGATTATTCAGTAGTCGTGAAATTATAACGTAAACTTTTAAAAAGAAACTCTTTGGAATAAATTTAGAATTAAGAAAATATTACAAAGATAGTATAGAGAGTTTCTGTATATCCTTCACCAAACTGCTATAATTTTTTCCTAATTCAACATAGTTGTTATAATCTAGGGTTCTAGCCACCTGATAAACTATATACCATGCTTGGATTCAGAACACTCATTTGTATTTATACCATTTAAATGTAATGACATACACTTAACTAAATTGATTGTGCTTTTTCTTTTTCTTCATGTTCTGTAGCTGCATAAAATATAGGATACTGGACTGAATTTCTTTTGACCTTCAACATATCATTAGATAAAGTATTATTTTAAAATATCAGTCTGTTAACTTGGCATTTCTTTTAAATGTAGAGAAAACTTCAGTTCTACTTGAAATTTATCATGGGTTGAATAATTATTATATTTTATAGAAGTACAGTGTTGATTATTTTCATCCTAAAAATCTTCCCAAATATATAGGCTTTCATTGAAAATTCAATATGGGCTGGGCACCATGGCACATACCTGTAATAACAGTAACCCGGGAGGTTGAATCATAAGTTCAAGGTCAGCTTCAGCAATTTAAGGAAATCCCAAGCAACTGAAGGAGATCCTGTCTCAAAATGGGGCTGAGGATGTAGCTCAGTGGTAAAGTGCCCTGGGTTCAATCCCCAGTACCCACCTCCCCCCAAAAAATCCAATATGGAAGACATGACATGCAGATTTTAGCTATAGATGTCTCTATATATTCAAGCATTATATAAAAATATAAGATGTTCATGCCATTTCTGTGAACATGTGCTTTTGAAAGTTAGCATTCCTGTATCTACTTTATTATGAGTTTCCTCAAACCTTTAAAATTTGACAGCATAAGAAGCAAAACAGTTAAAATGTTTTATCCTTTAAAATTCTTTAAAAGTTGTCATCAATACATTATTTCCTTTCCTGGAAGCCACCTACCAAACTTTGTTTGGTGAACTGAATGTCTGTGAATTCATTCTAATGAGTCTTTCTAGTTTCCACTGATGTCAAATCCATATAATCTAATTCATGTGAAAAATATTGATGCTTAGTGAGATTTTTAAGAAGTAATTAGGTGTGAGAACTGGTTAGCCATCAAGTAGGGCTGACCATTTATTGAAAGATAGTAGTATTGGAGCACTGTGGGAATTATATTATCCTGACATTTGATTATTTTTTCTTTAAACAATCAGTTTGACTCTTGAAAGGAAAAGTTTAAAAATATAATCTATTTAACAATATAAAACATACCTATAGAAATCCTCACAGTGAGAGAATCTGAGAAGTGTCCCCAAACAGCATACGTTTTAAAGAAAGAAAGTTGCTTTGGATTTGAACATGTAGGCATGTTCATGAGGCATGTAGACCAATGGCCCTCTTATTTCCCTGGGCTTTGATGACTGGTCTTGCTATTTTTGTGTATTTTCTAGAAATGAAATGTTCAGCCTTTTAAAGTTGCATTTTTGTAGCAAAGCCAAGAGAAGGGCATTGCTTGCTTCACTCTGTATAAGGATGTGAGGATGCTGATGGTGCTCTCCCTTCTCTCTACCCGCTTCCCACCCTCTTCATAGATGCGCATCGGGAATTCCTTCACAGGCCTGCATCTGGATATGTGCCAGAGGAGATCTGGAAGAAAGCTGGTAAGAATTGTTTAAAAACACGAGTTTAGTGTTCTGGCAGCTGTGTGCAGTTGTTAATGCAGTGATGTGAAGAATGACAAGAAAGGACTTTACTGCTAACAACAATAGCAAAAACAAAACAAAAAAAAAACTCACAAAACAAAACCAAAAAAAACCTCATTAATATTCTTAGACCAGCCCTGATTAAAACATGAAATAGTTTTTATTTTAGTAGCATCTGCTAGTGCCATTATAATTGAAAGGCTGGCAATATTTCCTTTATAAACCCCTTTTTTTTCAGGAGCTATAATGGTTTCAGGCTGGAATTTGGCATAGGAGGTCTTAGCTTACATGCAGTTTTCTTTGATGAAAAAAAAAAAATCCAGTGTTTAAAGAAATTAAATTGCATACTTCAGCATTTTGCTCTTCAAAAACAAAATCACATCAAATCAGTTGACTTGTTAAGGAACGTGTTAAGAATTTTTGTTCACAATTAGCTTTAAAATTGATCTTTTGTGCTAGTTAATATTCATAGATCAGAGCTAAATTATGTTTTAAGTTGAATGACAAAAGTTGCTAACCTTCTGTCTTTCCTTGCCATATGCACTGTCTGCTTTCCATTGAGAGGTATTGCTCTATATTTTGCAGTAGATTTGAAGCTTCTCCTGACCCCTTAACTGATTATTGGGCTTAAAGAATTTCAGATCTGGCAGAATCTTTGTGGAACTCCAGCTGCACAAAACCTTGCATAAAACCTGTCTAGGTTCTAAGCTGCTATAACTCCATCTGTTAGAATTGTTAGACTATTTGAGGTGGGAAAATGGGAAATGCCATTTGTGCAGAGTCAAATGGATGTAGGGGTGATAGCACTAATGGAGGAATCAAGGCAAAGGTTATTTGTTGTTTTTTCTACAAAAGACTTCCCTTGGGTTTTGATTGACTCAGCTGTGTTTGTAGTTCTCTGCAATTTGCCAAATCTCTGGTCACTTGTATCTTATCCAAATATAGATTTTCTAAGAAATATCAGTTTTTTACTATTTATGTATTATTATTTATTTGTAATACTGGGGCATTCTACTACTGAGCCACATCCGCAGTCTTTTTTATTTTGAGACAGGGTCTCACTAAGTTTCCAAGGCTGTCCTTGAACTTGTGATCCTCCTGCCTCAGCCTCAACAGTAGCTGGGATGCCTGGCTGAAATACCAGTTTTTATAAGTGTGATAAGAAGTTTTAAAATCTGATAGTACTCTAAGTTCAGTAGCTTAGATTAAGAACTGGAAAGTTCTCTTGCTTGTCAATATGCAAATCAGATAGATTCATTCAGCTTAAATATTAAAATGTGTATGTTGCTTACCTACATAGTATTACCTGATTTATGGTAATAAGTCACATGATTTCTCCAAGTTGTTCAAATATGCTGAATGCCAGATACCTGAGAGAGTTGCTACATCTTCCTCCTAACCATTTTTCTTCTCCATTTTTAAGCTGACAGTGCATCTTATTCAAGTAAGAGGCATAAAGAATTGTCGTTTGGACAGCAGAAGGATGACTTTTTATGTTGAGAGGGGAGAGTCTTTTCCTGTTCCCCTTACTTACTGTGTATTTAAGTTAAATTCTTGATAATTCTTAAAGAAAAGTTGACAGTAAGGTCTTGTGTAATCCAAATTCCTTCTGTGCTATTACCTGCTCAAGTCTTTGTTAGACTGCTATTAAGTGAGAACAGATTTTTCTGAATATACCACCTTTGTTGGAAAGTCAACTTGAATAGCTAAGCACAAAGGAAGTCCTACCATAAGTGGTGAGCAATTGGAAGCAGATTCAGAACTGTGCTGTGTATTTTCCACTTAATCAGTGTTTTTTCTACTTGATATGTTATAATCTATTGAATCTACCATTATTTTTCTTAACTGTTTTGTGGGTCTCTGAACCCAGTCTTCATGCACTTTTTGTTTGGCGGACTTAAAGAATAGAAAAAGAACACTGCTTTTTTTTTTTTTTTTTCCTGTTGTGTTACTGCACTCTTTAAGACAGGTTAATCATCGAGAAAATGTTTTTAGATTATTTAATTTTTAGATGTGGCTATCATTGATGATTTGTTAATAGTGCAGATTAAATTCATATTCTCACAGTAGTGCTCCTAATATGCCACTTAAGAACAGTGGTAGTGGTTGGGAGTAGTTTTCTATGGGTGCATGTTAAATTTTAGAGAGTATATTAAATCTCTAAAGTATGGATAGCAGTTTTACCTGGAAATCTCCAATAACTGCTTATACTATCCATCTGCTTATAATATCCATATCTGCTTCTTAAAAGACATTACTGGTGTTCTCAGTGTCAAGACAGCCAACCTGAAGAAGACACCAAGGGCATCATGTGACATCTGCACTCAGCTTGTTAAAATTTGAAAGCTTTTTTTCCCTAGGATTCTAAAATTGGCTGTGCAAAAACACTTTTTTTTTTTTTAAAGGAAGAAACCTATTAAGTGTGTCTTTGCAATGAAAGTACTACACATTGTCTTTGAAGCAAAAGTAAATAAAATTTAAAGCACTTGAAAAATACCCAAGTGGTGGATCTCTAAAATGTTCTAAATGTGATGCAGTCTAGCAATGCATCCTTTTACACGGAAAATAATTGCAGAAAGTATATATTGTGCTTGAAATTGTGTCATATAGTTTTTGTACCATTTTACTTTGCAGTGATTTCAAACTTGCATAAAAGTTGCAAAAATGTATATAAAAATTTTTCTTGTAGCTTTTACCCAGATTCTTCACTTTACCATATGTGTGTGTGTGTGTGTGTGTGTGTGTGTGTATGCCCACACACAGCCATTTGAGAATAAGTTTTAGATTCAATGTCAGTTTACCCTAAACATTTTAATGTTTATTTCCTAAGAACAATATATTCTTTCTCACATAACTATAGAATATTTACCAAAACCAGGACATGAACATTGATACTACACTATTATATTTTTTAGTTGTGGACACAATACCTTTATTTTATTTATTTATTTTTATATGGTGCTGAGGATCAAACCCAGTGCCTTCTCACACATGCTAGGCAAGCACTCTACCACTGGGCCACAACCCCAGCCCAATACTAAACTATATATTTCATCTACAGACCCTATGCAGATTTTGCACATTGCTCCAATAATACAGATTAATATTGCACATTTTTAAAGATTAGAAATCTTACTAAATGTTGAACACATCAGTTTTTCCCTAAAAGTAGTATTTTTAAAAGCAACAGCAAAGACAACAAATGTAACTCAGAAGTTACAAAGGATCTTTATAAAACTGGAAAATAATCTAACATAAAGATGGTTTTAAAATTGCAACTGAATGTTTTCTTCAGTATATTTCTTTTTAAACGATCAGAGAATGTTTGCAGTTGGTAATAAATATTCAAGCACCTTGCAAATGTCCTACCAATTCTCTTTGCTGATCTGTATATGCCTGTGGGATTAGAATAGGAATGCATAATTTAAATATAAATTGCCTGATTTGCATATACAATTAGTCAAGCTACAGCTTTGATCGTAAGCAAAAATTATTGTCCTGTATTACCACTTAGATAGAATTTTAATTCACCTTGAATATTCAAACTAAATTAGACCCTGGCTGTGTAGTTAGAAGGGCAGTCCTTCCCTGGTGCCCCAAGTCATTTAAGATGGGGTAATAAAGGCATCTTTCGACTCCTGGTAAAGAATATGCTATAAGTTCTGTCTGGAATACCCTGATTCTATCCAGATTTTAGTCACATACCTTGAAGCAACTAACAAAGGCTTAACATATTTTGGTTAATATTTCCAGTCTGGATCTTTCTCTTAAACTTTAGTTGGTAAAACCTAGTGGACAGTAATTGCAAATGAAAGCATTTCAGGTTTGATGCTGCCAAAGTGACAGAGCTACAAAAGCCAAGGCAGCAGATTTCTGGTAGGGAGCTTCTGATGCTCCTCACATCATGGGCTACAGATATGCAAAATAAACCTTAGGAATTTAAGAAATCCAGGGAGTACTAACATCTCTTACGTTTTTAATCTACAGTAAAACATTTTTATTAGGAATCTATGTTTTTAATTAAACAGAACATTTAATTAAGGTGGTTTTTAAGTGGGTGAAACAATTAAGTGCAAACACTTGAATGAAACATGTCATAATTAGTTTTAATAGAGTGTTAATTGGTACTAGGTTTGCCAAGTTAATAATTACTGCTTATTAAATTTTCAATTAATCATTGTCATTTTGCTTTGAATAAAGATGAAAATTAGATAAACTAATTCAGGAGGAGGATATTTTCCCTTGTTAATTAGAACGTTCGTTAATTTTTTTAAATGGAAATTACTTGTTTTAGTTGTCAATCTTATGTTATACATTAGTTGAGTATTTGCACCCTTACTACAGCCAAAAAAAAAGAGCTAATTTGACACCTTGCAGGTTTGCATTCAGGCCTGATGGTTTTGGGTTGTAGTATATGATTCAGTCATGTTTGTTGGTGCAACAGTTGGTTATGCAGAACCATGGTGTAGATTTGATGAAATCCATGGACAACTGCTTAAAACATAGGAGATTTTTTTTTTTAAATTTATCATTAGGTCTATAAATGTGCTTTATAAAAGCACATCTATATTACTCAGAAAATGACTTAAAGAAAACTGGATCATCTGTTTCATTGACTTGACTTAAAAGGTCTGTATTCATTGGCAAGTTACCTTTTCACTCATTTTTATTTTTTCCAACAAAATTATTATTTGCACTCATATCTGGATACATGTAAATTTTTTCTTCTTTCTCTGTTGTTTTTTGAGAACTTTACCTGTGAACATTTTATATTTATATAATCTTAGTGTTGTGGACTACCTTCTTTATGTGTCTGAATGATCCAGGAAGGTTTCCGTGGGTGTTCTTGCGCTTGATGATACACTGGTCTCAGATTCATTTCTAGAGACATTGGTTTGGTAGAAAAGTTGTAGCAATGTTATACGCATTTCAAAAATACTTCCAGAAGTACAAGTTAAGGAAACATCCTCACTCCTGAGTGAATTTCAAAGATCTACTATTTTCTTAGCCAGAACCACCCAATAATTTGGATGAGAGTCATGCATGTTGGATAAAATTCTGTTAAAAAGGGATCAGTGTCCAAGGTCCTGAACTGAGAGATGTTCTCTTGTCTGGTTCGCCCGATGGGCACACAGAGGAGGCCGTCAATGAGGTGAAGCGCCAGGCGATGACCGAGCTGCAGAAGGCCGTGTCTGAGGCTGAGCGGAAAGCCCATGACATGATCACGACGGAGCGAGCCAAGATGGAGCGCACGGTGGCAGAAGCCAAGCGGCAGGCGGCAGAGGACGCACTGGCGGTTATCAATCAGCAGGAGGATTCGAGTGAGGTAAGGCATTTGGTAGAGCTTCCAAGTGAGCATTACAGTTTTCATTATAAACTGCTCGTTTTTCAATCCAGGAGATCACAAATAAAAATTTTTGGAAAAAATTTTAATTTGGGAAAGTCAGAAAGCACTTGTGGAATTGACCAAGAACTGGTCAAATTTTGTTTCTTTATTAAAGACCTAAGGAAAAATTATTGGCCAAAAGTGATTTTAAAATGTTTGATGAATCAGATTAAGGTGAAATGCTTCATCTCCATCAGTGAGACACTCAAAACCTGACTCTGTGTGTGTGTGTGTGCGCGCGCGCGCGTGCGAGCACGCGCATGTGTACATGTGTATTGATTGTTTCCTCCTTAAAGGGATTTAATAGAGCTGTATTCTGTAAGCTATGGTCTCCAAAGACCTACTGCAGCACTGGAATCCAAATTAGTTCTATTAGGCCTAAAGTTAATGATAAAATGATATTTGCATCAGCTAAAGAGTTCTAAAACATTTTACAATCTGTATTTTCATAATGTTTGTCATAACCATGATGGTCATTACATTGCTATTAGAAATAATATTATTTGGTGTAATTCCCATGCAATAATGATCACACATACACATAGACACATATGCACTCAACACATAGTGTGAATGACTCAAGGATCTAGGAAGTAAATAACTAAAATGTAACAAGGTACTTTTTACAATATAGCCTATAAATCAGAGCAAAGAAATGTTCCATGTTAATTAATACAGCATCACAATCCTCAACCCTAAAGTAACTTTAGATAAAAGACTACAATTAGCTAGTCTCACAAAGCTGAACTCTGCAAAGGCATGAACTGATAAATCAATGGTCTACTACAATACATATCTATAATTTGTGAGGGAGAGTAAGAATTTAATTTGTACCAGGCTTTTCTGTAGATGAAAGACCCTGCGGGAATCACTCAATGCCCAGAGTTTCTATTTAATGTGTAGCAGATGAATAACAAGGGGACAAAAGGAATTGATTTTCAACATTTGAAAGTTTCTCAGGAAGAGAGGGACAAAGGAAAGTTTATCTACCCTTTAACTGCTGACTTTTCCATTGTCGAATTAAACTAGACAGAAATTCAATTTTATTGGCATCTAGCAGCTAAGATATATAAGGACTTTGTTTTGTGTTTATGTGTTTTGAAAAATTTCATTAGCATCTTTTGAAGAGAACTTGTATAAGTTAGTAACACTGTAGGGCACATTTGTCATTCTTCATATTACCACTTTCACATGAATGTTTTAGGGCTGTTAAGAGCATTTTTTTGTAGGTCCCTAAAATCTAAAGACAAATGTCTAAGAAGAAATTGTGAATTAGTAAGTCTTTACGTTTGCACAATAATATTCTGTATTTCTTCAGTATCTATAAGCTTTGTGTCTTTATTCTAAAACCTATGCAGAAAAAAAATATGATTTTGACAACAGTCTTTATCATTGTAATATGTTGTATCGAACAGATCTCAAGTCTAAACAGTTCCCTGGGCTCTTTCTGGACAGCAGAAAACTCTGGCTTCCTTGGGCTAGAAGAGAGTGCCCTTACTATGGCTGAACCCCAAAATGAAGGAGAATCTGTTAGTCTAGTCCAGGACATTTTAGAATTTTCACCTAATTTCTGTTTTTTTATTCAGGATTTATCTTAAATATTAACCATTCAACCCCAAATTCAGCCCACATAGCATTGTGATTCAGACACGTTGTGAACGATTCATTTTTTTTAGGAAAAAAAAAAAGACCTGGACATGATAGTAATTGCTTCGAAAAAATATATGTATGCCCATTAAATGCAACAGCTATTGATTTAAAAACTGCATTCAGAAATTAGTGGACCTTCTTTTTGTGACCTACCCAGGGAAGTAGGTTATTTGCTACATATAGAATTAAACTACATTCATTTATTCATTTATTCTTTCAACAAATTACTGAGCTTTTATTATATATCAGGGACATTGCTGGCACTGAGGGTACAGAAGTCACCGATGCATGTTAACTACAGTTCAATGGGAGAGTTGGATCACCAAATTGTAAGAGTCATAATAAAGTTTAAAGTGAAGGCTTCCAGTGCTTAAAGCTAATCAAGACTGAATTAACAGCTGCCCTCCCCACCTCCCACCACCTTATGATGGTTCCCGGGGCAGTGGGCATGTGCAGGGGACAAGAGAGAGGATGGGAAAGGAAGCTTTGCTGGTCTTTGGAAGCAAGATGGCCCTGTGACTGATGGGTGTTGATAAAGATCACTCAGACTGCAGTGTGGTAAGAGATTAGAGGAAATGTAAAAGAGGGACTGTCTCAGTGTTTCAGGAGGATGATGGGTAGATGAAGATGATTGGTAGTGGTGCTGGGGTGGGGAAAATTGGGTGTGCTGGCTGGAAACCCAGGAGATAGAATGGGCAAGAGAAAATGGGCTTGTCAGGAAAGAAGTGGGCCATAAAGGGTTCAGGGTACACACATCAGTTGACTCTACTTGAACCACTTTCACAAATTTGCTGGCTTTAGTCTACCCAACGTAGGTATAAGGGTTCTGGGGAGGATAACCTTTGCTTATTTTGTATGTATGCATAAGCAACACCAGTTAAAAACGTTTAAAAGTTCTAATCAATTATTGAATCCAGCTAGACAGGTCTTCTCTGTTTACTGGAAAGGACAAATAGAGCACAGAAGCTTAAGTAGTTCATCTTGTCGAATGTGAGAACTGGGGCTGTGCATTGGAAGGTGAACTGCAAGATGGCCCTGCATCCTGGCTTGAGTAGGCCAGTCCCAGTTTATACATGTCATCCTCATGTAGCTGCTCAGAGTGCTTCCTTCCACTTTCAGGTGTCCTGGTCTGGATGATGTTGTATGGTCACAACATTTAAAGGCCATGTTCAGCTGATTGGATGATCATCTGCTCTGTGGCAGAAGGAATCCAAGGGCAGTGCCCCAAGACTGGATTCTGGCCCAGCCTCTGTTGCCATCTTGGGTTCTTGAGCAAGTCATCTTTCACTTCACCTGCCTAACTGAGTTGTTTAAAAACCGTTTTAACAACAATATTATATAGTGTTTGAAGAGTGAAAACTCAAGGCATTATTATCTGCTCATATTTCACACAATCATATTTTTTTGCATATTTGAATTTATTCAAGTTTCCACAGTCATCCTTCGCACAGTATATGCTAAACTTGTGCCTGGAACAACATCCCCTTCTCCTTTTCCCCCTCTTTATTTGAAGCCACCTCTTGTAGATATCAGCCCACCTCTTATGATCAGGTGTATAATTTATATAATTCACATCTGCAAAAAAATACATGTAGATGATATAAATACACACATTATTTTGTATTTGTGTGTTGTGTAAGGTCTTTATAGAGACTTTGAGAAAGCACTTGTGCTTCAGAATTAGAACACTAGAGTTCTGTCCCAGTGTGCTGCTTGTTTTAAGTATAGACATCTGACTACTTTGCTCTATAATTTCTGCATTTAGCTCTCCTCCTGTACCTTAGTTTTCACATCACATAAAAAGGAGCTAGTCATGCCCTTCATGCTTAGAAAAACCTGTGGTTCTGAAAAGTTGGCAGCATAGGATAGAGAAAATATGGAAAGAGGAGAGAAGAGCTGAAAATGTTTCACTGAGAAGACCAGAGGGAAGAATGCCCAGAGCAGGCATGACTAACACAGGGTATTACTTGTGAGGGACAGAGGACCCATTTTAATTTATCATCCAAACTGGGATGCTTCTCAGAGTAAACAGGGTGCTCCTGCTGGGATGGACCACTTCTGTGAACCCGGCTGTCCATCCCAGGCACCAGGAATGGGGGGGTTCAGCAGCAGGGTTAAAAAGGGTTCTGTGAAGTTTGTTTTGCCTGTGATGAAATGAGAAGACCTATAATAAGTTTCTGTTCAGTGCCAGGTGTGATACAGAGCTACCTCATATACTTTAGCTCTTTCTTCTCATACCAGCTCTGACAGAGTAAGGAGCTATTTTTATTTTTGTTTGTTTGTTTTTTTCAATTTGCAGTTAAGAAAGTTGTCTTGGAATAGTTAGGTCACTTGTTAGCATCTCACAGTCAGTACACGTGGGCTGTCCTAAGCCCAGGTTGCCTGCCTTGTAAGCTACCTTCTTAATAGTCACATGGCAGTAGTAGGAATTATTTTCCCCAAATTGTGCAGTAGTGTATCTGTTTCTTCATTGGACTCTGCTCAATTATTTCTTCCTAGTTCCCTAGCTTTATTTCAGTTTATAGACTAATAATTATTATTACTCGCAGTTAGAATGACTCTGTACTTGGGACAGAACCTAAGCAGTATGATACTTTCTGTACTTTTTATAGTGAAATATGTGTTTCACCAGGAATGTAATGTCAGCATTAGCTTTCTTTATATATTGGCTTTATTTATTAAAAGACCTGCTGTTTGATTTCATAGGTGTTCGTGGGGTAGTGGACAAAGAACAGGCCTTGGACTGACTTTGAGTTGCTTATTTCTTGGAGCTTTGGTTTTCTCACCTGCAAAACTAGGATAATGTTTGTGACCCACTTTGTAAGGTGGTTGAGGGATAGACATTAGATGACAAGTATTTAATATATAAAAGTTTGCTTGATCAATGAGGTGGGGGAGAGAGAGAGAAAGAGAGAGAGAGAGAGACAGACATGGGGGGGGGGCAATTAAGAAATGATCCTAATAGGAGAGGTCCGAGGAGATTCAGGAGTAACCATGAGATAAGAAAGCACAGGATGGAGACTAGAAGTCAAGACTGTGGAGTTCTGTAGAGTTCTTTGTGTAGTGGTTGCTGGGGCTGTAGAGCAGTTTGCAATCAAATGCTCAAGTCTTGGGAGTGGGCGTTACCGATGAATGGCTCCAGAGTCAAGTGCAGGGAACACTGACTTACAGGAGCACCCTGGTGGGGCTCCATCCAAAGCAGGGAATTGAGAGAATGCAGCTCAGGAAGATGAGATGGACAAATGGTTTTGGGAGTCATTCACTTACAGCTGAGGGTTGAAATCAGATCTGACAAGGGAGCAGAGGAAGGAAGGGGGATATGTGTTGGTTGGCCCTCCCCCTTTGAGAACTACTTAAAGGGAAATAAAGAGGAAGTTACAGTACAAGAAAGAGAGTTGCAGTATCTTGGAAATCAGAATCAGGAACATTAAAAAGGAGGAATGGGGAAGTGCTCAGTAGTGATTAATCTTTAGAAAGTCTGAGGATGGTGAGGATGGAGGTAAAAATGCTTTAGTTACTAATGAAGTAAAGGGAAGAAACGTGACGTTCATTCCCTGTAGCAGTCATGCCAGTGGGGAAGGCATCCAGTTTGGACAGGGCCACCAGCTTCCTGTAAAGGCAGAGAGGCACTGGGCCTGGAGCAGGGGTTTATATACTCTTGCTTTCTTCTACCTCGAGCCAAGAGGAGCCAGTGAGGCTTCTGCTGCCACTTCTGGACCTCCTGATCCTCAGACACTGCTCAGCACTGACATGACCCTGAATAATCCTGCACAGTTCTTATTTATGCTCCTGTGCAGTTCTTATTTATGCTCTACAGGTACTGTTGCTCCAGGAGTCTAAGGAACTTGCCTTGAGGTTCTAAAGCCACTAAGTGATGAAGTTGGAATGGAACACAGGTTAGCCTTGTTCTCAGCCTGTGCCTTTCTATTACGCACCAGGACATCTGTCCTTGATGCCTCCAATTTCCTGGTCCAACCTTCATCCACTTTCAGGGATTAAGGGCCCATCAGATCTGTTCTGTTCCAACAATACATTTAAAAAAATCTGAAATTGACAAAATATGGCATTTTGGAAAGAAAATTTGATTTGCAGTCCAAATACCTAAAGAACTCAAATATTGGGCTGTATCATTTCTTATCTTTGTAATTTTGAGCAAGTTTTTTTTTAACTTTGAAAATTTTAGGGACCTCAGTTTCTTGAGCTGCAAAATGAATGTGACAGTGATTTTCAATTGTCAAGTGAGATGCAAGTTTATAATGTGATTTCAGTGTGCATTTAAGTCAATGTGTTGCCTTCTGTAGAGTTCTTCACATTTGGAAAATTTTAAACTTATAATCCTTCCACTTAAATTTACTGAGCATTCATTCTGTGTCAGACCTAGAGAAACATAAAGTAATTCAGGAGAAAATCTCTTGTCCTTTTCAACAGTAAGGACTTGAAGGGATGTATTTTGTTGGTAGGACAGAAAGACCATTCTGTGTTTCAAAAATAAGATAAAGGAAATGTTTTTCTTTGGAGCAGAAAAGAATTGCTGATAGGAAACAAAGAGTCAAAAATCTTTGATTTGCAGCTATGGCCTCCAGAAGATTCAATCTATCACCTCTATGTCCATACGTAGCCTCATGTTTAGTATATTTAGTGAAGTGGAGGTTTGGGTTCAGCCTTAGACTCTTCATCAGAGTCACAGCCCAGCTTTGGCCAAATGACTTGTTCTCATTTTTCAGTCAGGGAAGAAAATATTCTTTATTCCAGAAAAGGAATATAGACTAATATAGATTAGTATAGTCTACTATAGACTCTAAACCACATGAGTTTAGGGAATGAAATGTACTGTAAAAAGAGTATTTCTGAACCTTGTACACACTGTCACAGTAATTTCAATCACTAGCATCATTCCTGAGAACCTTGAAAGAGAAGCTCAGTTATTTAAAATAAAACAACTACTAAGGTCTACTAATCTGACTATAAAAAGCAGGAACTGAAACATGTAAAATTCGATTAGACGTTGACCACCTTTATCCCTGCCTTTGCGGCTGTGCCTCCGTGTGTTACAGACACAATTTGCAGCTTCCACCTTTGTGGGCTGAAGAAAGCTTGGAAACTTAACATGATCCCACTTAGAGTACTCCCAGGATCCTGCGCTGATCTCTCTTGCTAGGATCATGACTTTTCAGAGGCTGAGTGTCCCTGGTCTGACATCAGCCCTACAGGAGGAAGCAGGAAATGCAGTGAAGCCATCTGAAAGAGAGATATTAAGAGAAAGCATCTTCAGTTTTCTAATGAGCTTTTAAAAAGGGATATGCACTTGGAAATTTTTGTTAGTTGAACATGTGCTAAAGTTCCCTACATGTTCATTGCAGTACTGTGTCAAGAGCAATAAAAATATGCAAGGTTCTTTTTTCCCCGCTATCAGATCATTTAATTTGTTCTCTGTTGTACCTTCCTAGAGCCGAAGGTTGTTTTGTCCCAGTGGTGGGTGGTAAATGAATACAATCGAACAACATCAGAATGAACTAGAGGTAAAACTAGCCAGAGCCCTTAAATCCTGGATCAGAACCAGGCAATGCTAGGCAAGAAGCCTCAATTCCCAGCAGCTTCACGATCCAAAACATCTGTTTCTGTATTTGGAACAGTTCCACTTTTTTTTTATTTGTAAAATTGTTCCCATCTTTGGAAACACTTTAAAAAATAAAGAAGTCCCCATTCTGTCTCCTCTTTCCACTCCCCAACACATGCATTTGTAATTACCTGGTTTAGTCTGTGTGTTTAATCAGTTTAAATTGAGAATGTTGCATACATCTGATTTCAATCTGAAGGAGCCATTGAGTATTGGGCAGTTACCACCCTTGTGTCTGCCAAAATGTGCCGCTGCCAAAAAAACGGATAGGACTCACACCAGGGTATTTCCTAAAGAAGCCACTTGACTCAGATTAGATGTTTAATTTCCTTAAAATATTGTTTTGGATTTGGGTCTCTGTTCTCTAATTGGGATTTTCTGATGTAATTTAGGAATATCGCTTATTTGCTGAGTTTGTTCCAGAACCCAGCTGGCAATCTTCTAAAAGTTAAACCTCAGGGAAATAAACTTCATTCAGAGCGCTGAAGTGTCCTATCTCACTGCTTGGAAGGGTGCATCGGGCCCACGTTTATTCACATCATTGTAGAACCATCATCCATGCAATGCAGTGGAATTAATTTGGGAGAAGAGGGCTTCTAGTTATGATAATGAAGCCTCTGATAACAGATTTACAGCTTTTGAGATATTTACTTTAACTCAAGTAGAAAAAACTGACTTTGTTCTAAGTTCCAGTACTGCTTATTTTAGCTTCGTTTTTGCTTCTAACATTTATGTATCGACCAAGTTTCTAGATCTCCTCTGAGTTCATATAAATGCCTCTAGTGGGTAGAGTTTGAGACCATAAATTCTTTGTGTTTTTCCCCCCATTGGGCCATAATTTCTGAATGGTAAAGAAATAAGAATGTAGAGCTAAGCTCTTTCTAAAAGTTTAAACCGGAATTCTTGAGTTCGCAGCCTTCTGGCATTCAAAAGCCTCGAGGTGTTAGAAAAGTTAAGTTTGACTGCTAACAGTTGTGTGCACATTTTGCACAGTGGTAAAGGCTTACATGCCAGGGGATGGGCTGATATCCCACAGGGTCCTTTTCAGTAGGCTCATGAACCCACCTTGAGCCACATAACCAGCATGTTGAAAGTAAAACAAATATAGAGAACACAGTGGGGACACTTATCTATATCAGGGCTTTAAAAAGAAATTTGTAATGTTTTGAACAACCAACAATAAAAAATTTTAAAAAAAAGAATCAAAAAATAAAAAAATAAAAAATAAATAAAAAATTCATTTGAATTGTAACATAACTACATACCCTCAGCTTGTTGGAGTTACCAGACTATAGTGAGAAATTTGTTTTGCAAGAGAATAGTCAAAACCAGGGAAGATGAAGAATAAAATGCTGCATGGCGGAAAGTTAAGATCACTTGGCACAGCATTTCACAGTGGAATTGATACTGCCAAAGGAGCTAGGGACATTTAACCATGTAAATGAACATTTTAAAAGTCAGCTTTCTGAGGTTCAGTCCCCTTCTGAAAGGGTCCCTTACCCATTGATCTAACTTCCCTAAGATCTGTCCCAGATAGGTGTTCTTCGCTCTCTGACCTCTGTGCTTTGATTCACGAGGTGCTCATCTTATAGTCTGAGGCAATCTCATCTGTGCCTTTTTGACATCTTGCAAGACACCACCCGAGATGGGCAGCTGACTTTCTAGGGTCAGCGTTTAGTTCTTCTCACTCACAGATGAGCCGCAATTTCTTCTGCTCTTTGAACTTCCTCAAGTTGCAAAGGAGTTGCACCAGGCAGAAAGTGTTGTATGCAATGAGAATTGTTATTTATCTGGTTTCAGAATTTCTCACTTTTTCAAAACTAAATCATTAGGCCTCATCTGATTTATTCATTTTACAGTTATTAATCTAGCATCTACTTGATAGGTGAGGCACTGATGTTTATAATATCAGCAAAAACAAACCAAGGATCCTGCCCTCCAGGTTGCTGAGGTGAAGGGGATTGTTTTAAGACCATCCTCGCATTTGGTTATGTTACACCTAACAACTGAAGTAGAAGAACTAAACACACAGAAAGGTTACAAGTGCCTTGCCTCACCCTGTCTAGCCTGGGATTGAGGCGAGAATTGAATCCTTTGTCATACTCCATTGTATTTCCTTGAGTCCAGTGCAGACGTCTGGTGTTTCCTTTGTGATTCCTGCTAGTGTCTGGAAGGAAGATGCTTCTGTCTAGGATGGTGTATGTGTGTCTGCCATCATGGTACCAGTATTAAAAGGGACAACAATTTGTATATAGAAATTGCTGGTTAGTATATTTGAACAGGGAATAGTCTAGATGTGAAGATAGCCAAGCCTAAAAAGAAAGGACTTTTGAGTTAATATTGAAAGGAGGCTCTTCCTCTAATTTGTTGGATGCTATAATGATAGCAGAAAAGTTAGGATGATGATTTCATCAACCAACACTGCCTCCTCTGTGTGTTCAGCTCGTAGATTCACATACATACACCTAAAGCTTGCATTCCAGCTGTGTAGCTGCAATGGTATAGTTGGGCACGGTACTGTCTAATGTATTTATCAGACTTTTGCCTCAACCATGCATTCATTTGGGATCTCCCTTTCTTCTGCCATCTCCTTTAGAGTTGCTGGAATTGTGGCCGTAAAGCAAGTGAAACCTGCAGTGGCTGTAACACAGCCCGATACTGTGGCTCCTTTTGCCAGCACAAAGACTGGGAAAAGCACCACCACATCTGTGGACAGACCCTGCAGGCCCCGCAGCAAGGGGACACGCCGGCAGTCAGCTCCTCTGTCACACCCAGCAGCGGGGCCGGGAGCCCGATGGACACACCACCAGCAGCCACTCCGAGGTCCACCACCCCGGGGACCCCTTCCACCATAGAGACAACCCCTCGCTAGACACGGACTCAGAACTGTCCGAGGAAAGACAACACAACCAACGTGAAACCAATTCCTCGTCCTCAGATGCTCAAAGTCGTTTTTCTGTTTGTTTGTTTAGAGATGAACTATCCTATTTCAGTACTTCAGCAAGAGAGAACCTAACTGTTATCTTGAGGCGGTAGTAAAACACAGAGGGCCAGTAACGGGTCGTAATGACTTATTGTGGATAACA